ACCCAACCCAACCCAACCCAACCCTCTTTCAAGTAATGGAAGGAAAAAACAACAAATGCTATTTTATTTTGATTCCTAAGCCTTTCCAAAGTTTCTTCTTCTGCTGAGATGTTTAGTTTCTTCGTCTCAGAGCATTCAACTGGAGATGGGTGGTTCTGCCCTTCTTCCCCTCCCTTGGTTCCTTTCCTGATTCAAGGAAGGGAGTTGCATCCCATCTCCAATTCTTCTGTGCATCGTCTGTGGCTCATGCAAAATACTGACTTGAACAACACACTCAAGGAAAATCTTGCCCAATATTTTATATAGTAGCTTTGCTCTTGCCAAGAATTCTTATTTCACAAGGGGAAAGTTACCATAAATATGTTAAGTACATGAAAGACACCAGGTGAATGTCACTATTTCAAGGTCACTATGTCAGGTAAAAATGTCAACATGTTTTATAATAAATAAAGACTTATTTTTGCATTATATGCAAATAATTACAGTAAATACTATCTATGGGTTAATGATGGAATTGAGGGTGAACATTTGAATATTTATTAAGGACACTCAGCTTTGAAATTTATTTATAATGTCACTATTTTCCAACATTTTCCCTTGGGTCCCTTAAATTCTGAAGAATTGCCACTAAACATCAACATCCACCACATATTCAACAATTATTAAGCCATCATCCTTTAATATAAATGCTAGATCACCACAAAATGTTGTGGGTTTTTTTGGCTTTTATTTTTACCAACCATTGCCCCAAATCAGCTGGGAAACCTACGTTTTTGTTGTTTTTTAAATGTTTTCTCTGTATTCCAGAAAACATTTTAATAGTTTCAATATGTGGTAACAAAATTAGTGCAGAGACATGGAACATTCCAACTCTTCATGAAATGCTATATGTTGGTGATAGGCTTTTAACTCTCTTACATCCTAATCCTAAAGTGAAACATTTAAAAGGTTCATATCAAAGATCAGCTCTCATTAAATGCAATGCATCTATAACCCCTGAAAATATATTTTGTGTCATGCCAAAGATAAATGAAGAAAAAAAACGTTTGAGGAAAATGCTATGACTTGAGAAATTGATCCTTCTGTCACACTTATTCATTCTGATTAATAGACACCCTGTAAGAAGGAATACAATTACACTTCTCCAATACTTTCAGTGTTCAGAATACTTATTTTCTAACTGTCATGCTTACAGCCAATCAGCAAAGACTGCCCAACAGTTGTCCTTGCCTCTTCTTTCTTCTTCCCAAAGTATCTCTTGATGGAGAAACTACTTCTCACCGTACCTTCTTCCCTTCCCAGACACTATGCACTGAGCAGCCATTTTGTCCCACCATGATTCTTCCCAGAAAGGCCTTTCCAGTATGACACAGCATCCTCCCTCTATGAATCCGGTAAGTATCACGTGGCCTGAAACATGGGGAATGATCAACAGCACTCCCATCCCTTTTAATTGCTCTGCTGCTGTGGTTACAGTTCTGGCACAGCCCTGACTAGAAGTTAAAGTCATCCTTATCATCAAATGTAAGGGATCGTGGAAATTCAGGTCATAATTGAACAGTACCTGCTGGGGTAGGACAAAATTCCAGAATGCAAATGTCTGTGAATAATACAGAGTTCCTTTTCTATCAATTTTCAGTTCTTAGTAGAGGTAACAATATACCACAAATATTTTCTTCCTCTTATTCCCTATGTATTAACTCTGGAAGCATGTATATCATGCAAATTAAATATATGATACTTAATACAACAAAGCTGACTGTCTGGACTTATCAAAAGGTCAGCTCTTCAATTAAATAAGGAAAGAGGGCCAGATGGACCAGGCATATCTAAGTGACACTGGAAACAGTTTCACAGTCATACTTAAAAGCACATTTAGTTCTGATTAAAACGTTAAAGATCAAGACACCAGAATGTACAACTTAGGTCAAGTTTGATCTGACATCTGAAAGATTTTGTTTACTGGGCAATCCTAAACTTTATTTCAAGTAATTAAAAAATGAGAAATGAGAAATTGACTGTGAAATTATTTCAGTACAATTGAGATATGTATTAGGCATTTTTTTTAAAAGAACTTATTTATAATGTACAAAAAGCAATTTATTGCAGGTATTTCTAAACATCTATATATAAAAAGTAGCATATGGCATTCTTTTCCAAATCTGTGTTTCAGTATTATCATACAAACCTTTCAAATATACTGTATAGTACTGCCCCTGAAAGGATGATAGAAGGGATGAATGGACACTCAAACTCTTGTTTCAAAAGCTCACCTTGTTTCATCAATGTATACTGCCTCCAGAACCGATGCCGCATATTCAATGTTCTTCTTCAAATCAACCACGTTAACATCGCCTTTCTCCAGCTGCTTTACTAAACATCTTAGTCTGTTAAAAACAAAAACCTAAATGAGTAATGACAAAACTAACAGCCTTTTTAGGATGCAAAGTAAATGGGTATATAGAGTAGTTAGTGGCCCAATCTTCACGTATTTACCCAAATTGCAAGTGTGAACATTCTTCAGTCATATGGAGCTCCTCCACCAAAGGCATGTAGTGGTGTCCATTTATATCATAGACTGTTTACAAATTATCCCTTCCAAAGAAGTGAATGAGAAACATTTGTCTTTTTGGAGAGGATGTTAGGGATTCTGGCATCCTTGATTATTGTTCTCGGTTTTGCTGAATGGATGACAGCAGAGACTAAAGAGTGCATCACCCTGTATGTGTAATTGTGTGAATTTAATTTAAATTGAATATGCCACTAGAAGTTGTGTAAGGCAGAGAAATGCTTTGGATCTTCTTCAGCTGTATTGTTTCGTTTCTCCCGTACTGGTTGCTGTTCACCTCAGTGGGGGCAAAGTCAGGCCCTGTTATTGGATCCATTATTGCAGGTGAGGGGGAAACTTTCCATTGTGAATTTGTAAGGGGTAGGGGCCCAACAACACATCTAGGCCCCACTCACACTCCAGACCATTTTGTCTGCTGAGGGACAAAGCACACCTAACCTAGTTCTACACTGAGGATGGCTTTTATGACTTGGTTATTCTGCAGTGCATTTGGGTTTTGTTGTATTTTTAATGTCATTTACTAGTTGTTAGTTTGTTCAGGAGCTCAAGGTGGCATGCAAAGCTCTTTCTTCCCATTTCCCCCCACAACCACCACCTTGTGAATACATTGGGCCCAAAGTTTCTGATGTGATTGCAAATAATCTTGAGTCCAAGGAAGCAGGTGGTGGATACAGTTTTGTATAAGTAAACAAAGAAATCCATCCATCCCATATGAGGTTAGCTAGATCTAGTTGACAACAGATTCTGCTGGACGGAGAAAGATCAGTGATGCATCTTTGCTTGGAAATCTTATCCCTTGAAATGTCTCTAAATATGTACCCTTCCATACCATCATCAATGTGGGCATTTTGCTAGAAAATAATATATTTGGACTAAAATGACCTGGTTTGTTCTCCAGACAAATTTGTTTATACAACTGAACATTTTCCCCACGCCTCCAGGTGTTTCCACTGTTTGTATTCATAGCTATATAAAGCAACAAAACAGGCTGTCATTTTAGCATTTCATTTGTGCTCTTGATAAAATTTTGTTCTTCTGTTTATTTTGGTCAGGTGTAAAGTACTTTGTCATTTCTTTTTGCAAAGCAGTTTCCCTGGATGGAGTTTCTGTTTTGACTTTTTTAAAAAAGTAGAAACACAGAACAAATATAGTTAATGAAGCCTTTGAGATGTGTCTTAGGTAGCACTAACCATCTTGATAACTGACTTTTTTTTAGCATGCCGACCTATTGCTACAGCTATTCTGTGAGGACCTTTCTACTCTACTTCTGGATAAATGCAGATGATCAGTTTGTTATGCATGAAGCTGCATAACAAGGTGGAAAGTTTGCTCATTTGTTAAATCAACAAAGTAGCTAGTTAGTTTCAAGCTATTTTGTAGCTGTCTTTGCTCTACTTTTGAGTCAATGTATTTTATTTTTATACTTGTCCCTAATTGATTATCCACACTGTCATTTTGATATGGAGCGAAGGCATTAATTCGACCTATCATCCATGCATTGTTGTGGCATTCTACTCCCCCCGCTTTCTTTTCACTTCAGTAAAATGTTGTTTCAAAAGGGTGAATAAAATAATTTCTCTCATTCCTTCTGTTTGGAATTCTTCACTCTCCTTACAGAAGAAAATAGAAATTTTAGGAATATTGTGTTGCTGTTGAATATTAAGACAAAACAACCCTCAAGTTTTTCAAATGCACAAGGAACACTTGGAATATATGTTGGAAATCAGAACTTTTAAGCCTGAAAATCAGATTTAATTAGAATTAGAAAGCAAACTTTTCCATACAAGAATATTCTAGCTATTAAACATTATAGCTTGGAAAAAATATTCTGTATTATGCATTATTTATTACTAATACAGATAAACAGCTAACCATCTGGAAAAATGGAAAGGTCTTACCACTTAGTAAAGTTTCCTACTTTATTACATATAAAATTAGTGGCAAAAGTTACCAAAAAAACACCACACACTGGCAATTAAGGCAAATGTAGTTTAAAACAACTATGTGATAGAAAAGCATGCCTTGTGGGGGAAACTGGTGGTATGTTCTAGTTGATTTTCTGCCTCTTTTCATAGGAAAGGATTGTTAAAGGCTGAAGAGCAGGGCAAGCTATATTTCTGCAGTAATCACTTAGCATTTCTACTTATCTAAAAGGATTCAAAAATCTACTTGTATACATTTGTGAATAAACTGTAGTAAAGTGGTATAATTTCAGGCCGTTGCTTATAATTACCTTGTTGTAAGGAAGGGGAGAAATGGAAACCTAAGATAAACATATTTTAAAATATAAATTACACAGACAAGCACTGCATCTATATTAGTGGCTGATCTTGTTATACAGGAAAAGAAAACAAACAAACACAAGCCAGCCCAAGACATTTTCCCATCTGAGAGAAGTCTCCTACCCGGTTGCTGCCAGAATCTGACCTGCTGGATTTTATTTAAATACTTTTCAATCACCTTAGGTTAGAAATCTTGGCCACAGCTGAGGATAACTTATTTCTTTATTATACTTATATCCCACCCAGCTCTGTAGACTCCAGGCAGCTAGCATCTCAATAAAAAAATAGTATAATAATGGCAATCGAAACAGAAATATACAATAATAATATACAGACTAACTAGAGATGAGAGAAACATATATGAGGGTTAAAAACAATCTGTGCCGCAGCTGTTAATCTTCAAATGGTCTCTTAGAGGCGTCTTTGTTGCTCTGTGAAAAGATGAGGCCAATATATTCCACATAGGTCAGGGTAGCTATTAAAAGCCTGTTTCTGAATCTACTCATTTGATCTGGTGAGGAGGTGAACGCCAAACATCCCTCCATGGATAGAATGAAACAAGTAGATTCCCTCTGGAGCAAACAATTCCAAAGCTAGACTAAACATCACCACATTTTGCAATCTCACAAGATTTAGGGTTTGGGGTGATGGGGGGCAGTGGTCCTGAAGAACCTGGAAAGTCCATTGACCCTTTTGATAGCGTACAGCTCTTCGGCACAAGAAACATGAACACAAACAAGGCCTCTTTCAAACCGACACAACAAGAGCACGGGGCACTGTTTCAGACGCCACCATCAGACAGACAAGAGAAAGACAGCTGAGAGGCCCAAGACATTTGGCTACCAGCAAGAAATGCCACTCCAATTTTCCACCGGAGGACTGTACCAACTGGGGCGTTGAGAGACTAAAAGTGGAACATGCTCATTTGTGTCCTCTTGGCACTAAAAACGTAGCCCAGACAAACTTTCAGATAAGGCACAAACAGTGGAACTGCTTTGCCTGGGTTTAGTATCCGATCCGTAAAGCTACTTTTGCCCAGCAGCATCAGAACTAACTGTGAAGACACCAAAACGACACCATGCATGCAGTGCTGCAATCAGGTACTTGTGTCCCAATGTCTGATGCAAGCAGATGAGTGGTAGCATTTGTATGATGACATCATCGCGTATATTTCATCATCTGCCTTTCCTTCAGAGGCCAATTTCTTTCTTTTTTTCTTCAAGAGGGAATAATTGCACAATGTCATTAGACCAACTGGAAACACATCAGAACTTTTGCTTCAAATCACACCAGGAAAAAAAAAATTAACAAAAGGCCAGGATCACTATTAATATGATTTTATTAATTCTGGTAAGACTAGAACTCTATTCTTGTTCAAGCATTATTACCATACAAGCTTTGGGGTACAGCATTTTAAATGAGATGCAAAATTAGAGGCCATTTAATTTCCTGTGAGAAAATTAGTTTTACATTTCTGCCTCTTGTGTGAAAAATTAAGCTACACTGGTGTATTCCCTTCAGCATCATTCATGCCTAGATAGAAAATAATAATTAATTGAAAATAATGAGGCCCAGGGGCCTATCCTCCAGGATTACATTAGACCTTTGCTCAGTATCTGAGAAAGCTTGATTAAATGCTGTAGACACAATATTAAAAAGCTATTCAAAATGTCAGAAGTACCATATCACTGAAGCATCCTACTGTCACTTTCTGCCTATTTATTAATATAAAGGCCCAAAGTTCAGGTTTTCAGGTTAACTGCCTTAAGTAAAGCTGCAAAAGTCAGCCCGACTGTAAGGCAGAGGGAAGCAATCCCTCCAAATAGCCAGTGCTGGTCAGTTGCTGGAGCAATGGCACTGACCCCTTGGTTCTTCCCCTAAATCGGTAGACAAAGCATTACTTGGCCAGAGCCCCCTAAGCTGACCTACTGTCTCATGTATGGGGGAGGCTATTGTTTCATTGCTAGTGCTGAAGGAATATGTATTGGTCAGGTTTCCTTTTATAGATGGAGTGAGTGGAAACACCCTCTTACCTTTAAATTTTAGGCAGTAAAGTCTTGTGTGAAAATTCTGGTCTTTAGAAAGCAGTACTACTCCTTTGTGTGAATGACTTTTTACTTATCTCAACAAAAGAAACCGCTAAGGAGACTTGTCACCTAGAGGTTGAAGCTGCTTTCTCACATAAACATTGCAGAACTGGGACCTAGTATGATCCTTTGTTGTCACCTACAAAAATCAGTTTTCAGTTAACAATGTCAACCCAACTCAGTGGGCCTACTGTACATTCTGTGAAAGAAAAGAAAGAAAGAAAGAAAGAAAGAAAGAAAGAAAGAAAGAA